ATAGTAAAACTCTATTGTGATAATTTTAATATAATCATAATGATTGAATGGCCACACATGTGTGCACGAAAGGAAAGATGTCTGAAGCCATATTTTAAGGGAATAAAGGTTTGATTTGCGTATTTTTGTTTTTGCTTTTTAACTTCCTCAAAAGTGTGGGCTTAGTAAAGTGTAAACAGCACATATGATCTCTGTCTGGTTTTGTTATTACTGGATTTTATAAATGCAGTCAACGTCACCTGCAAGTATTTAAGAGTATTTAGAGAAAGTTGAGACCATCTTTTTCAACGACTTTTTCACAAGGTGGCTGCCAGCTTGCCCCAAGTCAGCACCAGATCTTTCACTGGGGCTCTTTTCTGAGTGACCTTTCAGTTACTAGATTTATGAATGGAATACTGTGCCTCATTTTCTCAGTGACTGAAATGATTGTGTGTGTGGAAAACGGGTGTCTGACATATCATAAAACACTAAATATTGTTTTTAAAGACCTATAAACTCTTGCACTAAATAGTTGGCCCTGTCTAAGAAGCCCTGTCTGTTCTTAGGTCTCAGAGGAAAGAACACCAAAGTTCACAATTTTAATGTAGTAATTATGAAGCTTCATTTATTTTTTGAGTTATATGGTCATGGCTGTGCTAAGTTTGCTTGAGTTTCTGTTTAATTTAAAATAAAGACTGCATGTGCTCTTTGAAGCCTTACCAGTTGGTAATGTGAGGAAGCCCAGTGGTGTGGGCTGACTTCTCTAGGAAATAGCTCACATGTAAAATCTCCACATCCAGGGAGCACAAGACTGCGTTTCAGAACGTGCTACATTTAAAAATGTAAGTCTCTAGTATGAACCAGAAGGTGATGACTAACAGGAAAGTAGACTATTATTGCTTGTGATCTACTCCTGTAAGCCCAGCACTTAGGAGGCAGGGGAAGAGGGTTATGAGTTCAAGGCCAGCCTGGTCTACATAGACCAGATCTCTTATATATATAAGAAGAGCAGAGGAAAAAAAACCCAACAGGAAAGTATGTGAAGATTAATATTGAAAACAGCTAAATCGGGTACAGCCCTCCTCCGTGTGTAAATGCAAGCTCTATTGGACTTAGATGGAAGAATTTGTAGAAAATTTCAGAGGGATTTTTGATGATGAGTTTGTTCAAAGGAAGAAGCATAGAAATATCAGTGGTGCTCCCAATTTTTAGGTTCCTGGAAAAGATTTATTCTGCCCATACTTCTGTGTTCTGTCATGCTTTAAGAGAATCTCAAAGGCCAACTGTGCCATCATACAGTGTCTAACAGTAAGGGTGATTTTAAGTAAGAGTCTACCAGTTCTAAAAACAAGTAGATTCATTCTGCCAGGGAGACATACAAGCATGTGCATGTGCACACTCATGCATGTGCACACACCCCTGTGGCTGCTGGCACAGGCCTCTACTTTTGGTACTTGAGATAAAGATAGGACTGAAGGTACAAGAGAGAAGATGGTGTTAATCATTCCTTATGCTGTCATGAATTTAACACAGTAGTTTTGGTTTTGTTAATTCATCAACCATTTCACTTCACCTGTGAATCTTTGTCATCAAGTAAATTGCTGCATTTTTTTAACTTTATCCATTTTTGCTTACAAGTGTAAAGTAGACCAGGCTTCACTGGTTCGGATGGACATCTCAATTTTTATGGTGTGCCAAAGAACCACCTATGTGGTCTGGATGATGGGGTTCCCTCTCCAGTGTAAGAAAGTAAGCGCAAACTTGGTGTTGGTCTGTAGCCACAGAGATGAATCTCAGACGGAAACATTAGTTCCTCTGTTTGCACGAGTCAGCTCTTCTATAGTTTACAACAGCCAACTTGTTCAAAATCCATCTTTTCCAAATATCAAGCCTCGTGAAGAAGAAAAAGCACACATTTGCTTCCTCAGTGCCTTGTCCTGTAGCTCATAGTAGGCAGCTGAACAGGCGTAGAGGTGAAGGGTTTACTTCTCTGCTGGGGCTTCCCTTTGACTTAGGGTACAGAATCCCATCTCCATGTCTCCTTCTGTAGGAGTCTGGCTGCAAGTGGGCTAGGGTCACTTACAGAAGCCCATGGTACCTCTGCCTAGGTGGCATCTGGGATCAGAGTAGACAGAGAAGAACAGGACTCGCCATTGGAAGGAAAATGCATGCAGATTCAGTGGTCTCCATGTTGTAACTATTGATTGATGTTGTTCATTCCGTTTGGAATTTTCTTGGCTCTTCATATGTCAGGGGATTTTTTTTAAAACCACAATTTTAACTTTTTATGTATTATGTCATGAGAGTCCACCTCTTATTTCAACCTTCTGCTTCTATTGACTTCATCTAACACTTGTGCAAGTGAGCAGTGAGTGCCAGCTTGCCACTCGTGCATAGAGGTGAAAATCCAGGTTCATGTTGACGCCCTCTATATGAAGGTCCTCATTAGTATCTAGCAGGGGTAGAATGCCCAGTGGACAGGGTTTAACATAGCCCCAGTTGCTGCATGGGGTAAATATGTAGGCTCCACACATAGTTTCCACTGGCACTGTGGAGGATGCTTCCTTACCTGCTAGTAGGCATGAAGGTCTTCTTGTTTTGTCTTCTGTTAGCATGGCTCTGGCAGAGACATCAGACTCCTTGCTGGAGGCTCGAGAGTGAAAGCCTCGTTGCTCCCGTATTTAGCTTTTGCTGGCATGTATGATCACATTTTCCTCTGTGGTGTTTGGCCAGAACACAATAGTTGTGGTCTAAACTTTTCTGTCTTCCCAGGTTGTCTTTTTTCCCCGTATGGTAGGTACAAAGAGCAGGCTTTTGTTGAGGCCTTTTGGCCCATGCCACTGCTCTATCTGGTTTGTTAATTTCTTCAGCTAAGAAGAAGATGAAGCTAAAGTCCCCACAGCACCCAGATTTGGGGATTCTGAGATCTTACAGTGGTCTGCTTTCTCTCCACTTCATAATCATCTTTTTAAAAACCAGTAGCACACAGGGTTGCAGTTGTTTTTCAAGTTTATACTTAAGAAAAGGAATAGGAGTAAAAATATCTCCCTTGAAGAAGAAATGTTTGCTTTTGAAGTTTCTTATTCCTTGTCCCTTCCCCAGATAGTTTTTATTATGAAAAATTTCAGAACTATACAGAGGATGAAAACATTTCATCATAGACCTCGACTCCTCACCACAGAGCTTTAACAACTGAGCAGTTTGCTATGCTTGGTTGTTTTTTCATCTGTTCATTTCATCTGCCTTAGCTTGTGTTTACTGCTGTGAACAGACATCATGACCAACTCTTCATCAAGGCAACTCTTGTCAAGACAACGTTTCATTTGGGCTGGCTTACAGTTCAGAGGTCAAGTCCTTTATCATCATGGCGGGAAGGGAAGCATGGCAGTGTACAGGCAGACATGGTGCAGGAAAAGGAGCTGAGGAGTTTTACACCTTGATCCAAAAGCAGCCGGGAGGAGACGTTCTTCCACACCGGGCGGAGACTGAGCATAGGAAGAGGCTCCAAAGCCCACCCCAACCGTGACACACTCCACCTAATAAGGCCACACCTACTCCAACAAGCCACACCTCCTAATTGTGCTGCTCTCTATGGGCCAAACATTCAACACATGAATCTATAGGGGGCCAAAGCTATTCAAGCCACCGCACCATCTATCCATTCCTTTGTCTTTGATGGATGTCAGCACAATTCATCTGTAATCACTTCAGCATGCATATCAGTCAGACTCCACTCTGTGAGTTTTCTAAGTTTAATTTTGCATAAAGTAAAATGTAAAAAAATCGTAGAGATATGTGACCAGTTTTCTATAATCCATCCAATTTTGAGATAAATTCTGTCTCTCCCAGTTTTGTCTCTTCAGTTAATGCTACTGAATTTCTTTTTTTTTCCTTTGTTTTATTTTGCCACTGATTCCTTTTGCCTATTTGAAATATTGATAAAAAATGGAACCACACAGTGCATTCTCTCTTCATGTGGCCTTTTCAGCATGGTATTTCTGAAATGAACTCAAGTTGTTTGTACGAATGGGTTTAACAGGAACAGGGATCCATCCAATCTTACACTTAGAGGAAGATTTGGCTATGAAAATTCTACTTGTATTTATTTTCCCGCTTTATATTTTATTATAAAAGTTTCTGAAACTTCAGAGAAGATGAAAGATTTGAACGAATCTGCCACCTAGATTCAACGCTTAACGTTTTGTTGACTTGAACTGATTGTGTATTTGTCCAAATACCCATTTTATAAAAAAGACTTAGTAAAACCATTGGCTGTCATTGTCTAGGTTTTTTGCCACTAAAATTTGGAGTTGGGATGATATAGGTCATTATTATGTCCTTTCTGTTTGGAATTTAGTGTAAGGCAACTTCAGAGTGTGTTTTTTTTTTCTCTCTGAATAATAAAATACTGAAGGCATATGAAGATAATGTTTTGTCACATGCTGTGCCCACATTTCCCACAGAGTTTTGCTGTTAACAATAGCTACCAGTTTATTCGAGACTGACAGTTTGCTGTAACAGAGGCACATAATAGTGCTAGCATTATACAAATAGAGTTTAGCCTCCTAGCACACACTTTATTATGTGAAGGAGAAACCATGGTTTTCACAGCACCATGACTGTGACGTCCTTGCTGAGAATGTCAAACGATCTGTGGAGTAGCATCCTATTGCAGGGATAGCAAGAGAGCTCAACTCCTGCTCTGATGTGTACTGATGTGTTGTTGCAGAGGGTCTTGGCTGTGGTTCACAGCTCTTTATTTGTCTGGCCCTATTATGTAAGTCTCTTGTTCCTCTTCTGTTTCCCAAAAATGATTGCCTAGGGGGACTATAACTCATGATTGATTGATTCCCTGATTGATATCAAGGGAGTCCTACCAGCTGCAGAATGGGACAAAACAGACTTTATGTGAGATTCCAAAGAGTGCAGGAAAGTTGCTGTTAACAGTCCAAGAAAAGACAGATAGTGCTGTTTCAGACTTTCATTGCAACTTTTCTCTAACTTGATTTTTCTTTATACAGTTGACGGACTAGACAAAGCATCCATAGCAAACTCAGATGGCCCCCCAGCAGGTTCCCAGACACCTCCCTTCAAGAGAAAGGGGAAACTCTCCACCATTGGTAAAATCTTCAAGCCTTGGAAATGGAGGAAAAAGAAGACCAGTGACAAATTTAGAGAGACCTCAGCAGGTATGATCGCTATCACAGTTGCAAAATGATAAATGGCTAATGTTTTCAATCAGATGAATCACATATTTTATGAGTCCTTTTCTGAAAGAATATGTATTTGCATTTAAAATGAAACTACTTCACTTAAGGATAAACAATCCAACAGTTCTGACTATCCCTAATTTTGTTCTGACTTTGGCTTTCTAATGTAGCCTTAATTTAAAATACATTTTTTAAAATTCATATAGATCCCGACATATGAAAAAGTAGAGGTAAAGTAGAAAGTTGGGGATGGAGATGGTATCTGTGGGCGTAGAGGCATCAAACACCTGCTTTTTCATATACACAGAGTTGTGTGCTGTCTACCTATTGCTACTAGGAGAGACATATCTGTTAATTAAAACTATATATTTCTTTGAGCAGGATCTTGTTATAGGCTGACCTTGAAGTCACACCATGGCTAGCCTTGAACTCCTGATCCTTCTGAGTTCACCTCCTAAATGCTGAATGATTAATGCTAGTGATTAAAGACATGTGCCACCAAGCCTGGCTTAGAACTTAAAAAAAAAAAGTCTTCTTTGTTGTAGTTTTTCCAGAAACAAAATTTAAATGACTGAACAAAATGGCGTGTTGACTTTTAATTTTAAATTCCCATTGTGTCTTTAGAACAAAACAGTAGTCTCTGTTTTAGGAAAGATGATGGGAAATTATCCCGTTGTCATTTACTTTGTGGATTTATTGAACATCAAGTATTTCATTGGACTGGGCATGATGGCATGTGCCCCAACCCATCAGAAGGTGAGACAGGAGAACTGTGAACAGAAGGCCAGACTGGGCTGCATAACAAGACCCTATATCACAGTAAAAGAACAGATGAAATGAAGAGAGAGATGGTTCAGAGGTTAGGAGTACTGGCTCTTCTTCCAGAGGACCCAGGTTCAATTTCTAGGGCCCACATGACAGCTCACACCTGTCTGTAACTCCAGGGGATCTGATACCCTCAGACTAATGCATATAAAATTATATATAAAGAATGGATGAGAAAAAGAGACCCCTGTATGAAAAAAAATCAATCAAAAGAATTTCATTGGTTGGTACCTTTCACATGACTTGTGGGGGAAACTGGTTTTGATTCTAAGCTCACTCTAAACAAATGGTAGGTGTCCATGGAATTTTGTTTTAGGGCAAAAGACATTTATCTCTTGATATAAGTCCAGCCTGCGTCATGATTACTGTTCAAAACAATTTATCAAAATCTCTCATCACATTAGTCTGCAAACATCAGCACATGTGCAGGATCACGGAGCAGATCTTACGGGCCTCCCTAAGACTGCCCTGGTGTCCTTGCACTGTGAAACAGAATAGAAAATACTAGACACAGCACAAATGTGTGCAGCAGGGACAGCAGAGCTCCCTGGAGACAAGTGTCTCTGCTGTACTTCCAGGTAGAAAAGTTGAGTACTTGCTGTCTGATGAACAAAAATGATATCTGAGAATACTTTCAGAATTGTCTTGGAGGAGGGAAGTTGTAAAATCCCAGAAGAAAAGAAGATTGCTGGGAGTTTGACATTTGTAGACAGTAGGCTCATGAGTTTTACTGTCCTTCTTTATACCACAGGGACAAAATGTAGAAAAATGATAGAGACTTGGATTGGGAGCAGTGGGTACTGAGACCTTTACTGTGTCTAGGGGCTTCCTGGATGAAAAACCAGTGGGAGATGGTGGGCTCTGTGCTGAGCAAGGACCAGGAAGTGATTTCCTTTCTACCAAACACTAGATGATCCTGTTTTTTGTTTTTGTTTGTTTGGTTGGTTTTTGTTTTGTTTTGTTTTGTTTAAATCTAAGGAATTAGATGAGCTGGATTCTAACGTGTTTTCCTTCCTGATTCTGTACTTGGGCTTCAGAAGACTCGTGGTATTATAGTGCCTGGCTAGGCATCTTGTTATCCCTGTTTTTCAAGAGTGGGTGGAACCAGGTTGCCCTTCTGAAGTGCTCCTCTCATGTTTCCCCAAGTGTTGCTAGAGTCTGGCTCTGCAAGTTACCATGGTTACTCAAGATGGGAGCAAGTCTCTTGGACTACAACATTAAGATGCTGAGGGAGACGAGAGGCTCTCAATTATCTTTGTTGCCCGTTATGTAGATCTGAAGCTACTAACATGCCCCTTCTTAGAAAGGACATGTACAGAGGATTTCTTCCTCTTTCCTTGTTATTTATTCCAATTATGAAATAGCCCTCTGCATACTTGTATGTTTATTTTAAGGCTTTAATTTCTGTTAAGACCTGAAGAAAGTATCCATGAAGCTTAAGCAAACCAAAAAGGCTGAGAGGAGAGATGGAACCGAAAAATCAAAATAACCAAGAAAATGCTATCTTCTTTTTAAAAACGATTTCAAATAGCAAAGCCAGGCTGTTAGAATGTGATCTAGGCCATGTGTAGTCCAGCAGGGTCGTCTACAGCATGTGAGCCTGGGAAAAACAGTGAATTTCTTTAGAGAAAAGTAACTATTGAGCATCAGTCCCTGAGCATCCTCGCCTGACATCACGTGTGTTCCATAGTCATTGACTATACACAGCCTTTCCCATCCATGAGGGTGTTTAGTTAGCAGTGGATAGTCTTTAACATGACTGTGTAAATGCCATTTGGACTGCACATGCTCCCAACCCCTGTCTGTTTTAGTGGTCCTGAGTCCCCCATGCATTGGAATGCTCCTTTGAAGCCCAAAGAAACACCTCATCTATGGGACAGATCATGTGTGTACACAGACTTCCAGTTTCTTGCCATTGTTCCTGGGCAGAAATTTACCCATAGCTCTGACTCATTCTCACGAAGGAGAACACCCTGCTTTTTCATCCCTAGTCGAGTGTATTTTCATGGCTGACACATTCTGAAAAGTATTCATTAGTCTGGGTTGGTGTTGTGTGAACCCCACAGCTTACACAGATTGGACTAACAAAGGAGTTCTGTGATTGCTCCTTTCCAAAACCCCTTTCATACCCATTTCTCCTGGGTCTCATCTTGGAAAGTAGGCCTTCCTCACTCTGGCCTAAATCAAGCTTGTCTCCCTTCCATGGCTTTACTATTCAAAATGCCATTTATATTTTTTCCTTTCTAATTGTCTCCCTGTTTTGTTTTCGGGAAAGGGATACAAGTATAGATTCTGCATCTTTGGTTTTTTGTTTATTTCTTTCAGTCCTAAGGATGGAAACCAGGTCCTCCATGTGCTAGACAACCACCCTGCCACTAATTTATATCCACAGGCCTTGGATTTTTAAACACGTTTGTGCCTCCCCAAGGTTAGACATGCAAGCAAGCACTCTATCTAAACAGTTATTCCTCCAACCTTTGCATCATGTTACCATCAAAGCCAAGAGGTCTAAAACACGTGGCACCTGCGGCTTCCACTTTCTCCCACACTCAGCACCTATCTCTAGATCAGGTACAGCTCAGTGACACAAGGAGACACAGGAAATTCTGGGAGGGAATGTCTGAAAGCACTGTGTGCATGTACATTGAAGCATGTACTCTGCAGCCTGAGCTATATAAGAAAACTCCATCTACACACACAGAGAGGGAGAGGGAGAGGGAGAGGGAGAGG